GTAAAATCTATACCTACTTCAAAGAATGTATTCAATTTCAAAATAAGCTGCTTTGTTTTTTTTTTCTTTTCTTTTTTCGTTCCTAACTCTTAGTTACAAAACTGTGTAGGCTATATCTGGCCTGTAATCAAGAATAGTGTCTAAAATCTTTTGAGGTGAACAGTTGTGAACTGGTGCCAAAAACTTATTGAGTACATCATAACAATTGTATTTCCTGAACTTCGTCATGGAGAAGCAGTGTGTTTTCAAGATTTGTAACATTCATATTTTGGTAATTTCAATAATGATTATATTCTTAAAACAAGTCCCTTTTTTTCTCTTACAAAAATAAGCCAATTACTTCTAAATAATAATAACTAATATAACTATAAACTATCTGGGCATAATGTCTACAATAAATATAGGAAATAATATAAGGAATACTATTTAGAACTTTGAGAATATACTGCTTCACTTTATACTTTAATTCAAATTGTATGTGTTCAAGAAATAGCTACAATTTTTTATATTACTTTTTCATGCTGCAACAGTGATTTAAATCTTGTTTTGCAAAGTTAGTATAATGAACTTAAGAATGACTGAATTCTTAATTTTGGGGAGATCACATTGGTTGGAGCAGCTACTGGATACTCTAATTAATATTTCCTTTACAAACTTGCACGTAATATGTTATTGTCTGTCTTCTTCAAAAAAGCAAATAAATCTCTACAGATAATAATCAAAATAGGGTTTATAATGGTACTTTTCTTATTTTATATTACATTTTGTACGCAGGCAGTGATTGATTGGTGGATGATAGAAAACATCTACCAAATTGTAGAATCCTAACTCCTTCAACTCTAGGAGAAAATACTAGAAAACATTCAAGAGGAGTTTCTTTGTACAGCACTTCCATGAAAATGAATCATATATTCACAGACCATCTCACAAAACCAACATGCAGACACATGTGCTTGAAATCTGCATGAAGAGTATAATGTAGACAATTGAAAGAAAGAAAGAAAAAATAATAATAAAATAAAATAAAAACTTTGAGGTGGAAAAGGTAAGTAGTGTATTCAGACATGTACTATTTTGCAGCAGCTCAATGTTAGACACCTACGTTTACCTCTTACTTCTCTTAGCAGGGGGACCACGAGTCTTGGTGGAATTTGCTCCACGTTTTCTCTTAAATGAGAACTTTACTGTCATCTTGTTTGCATCTTTGGCTGGCATGGACTTGGGCTTAGTATTGGCCTTAGCCTTTGTATTAATCTTAGCCTTAGGATTGGCCTTAGCCTTTGCTGCAGTCCCAGACCCCCTCTTGGACACCCTTGTGCCTGCCCTCCCCTTGCTAGCTGCTGCCACTGTGGCTGCCTTACGCCCCTGGCCCTTACCCTCTGTTTTGGCTCCTAACTTCCTCTTCTTTGCTGGCTCCGTTCTTGGGGCCTTTGGAGTCTTCAGAGATGCTCCCTTGGGGGTCTTTGGTGTGGCTGAGGTCACTCTCGCTGTACGCACTTTCCCACCAGGGGCTTTCTGCGAGAAGCGGATGGTGTCCAGGTCCAAAGTGAGGTTGTGTTCCTCACAGTGTGTGCGTACCTCATTCTTGGAGCGGAGTTTCTTGCCAAGGGGACTGGAAAAGTTGAAAGGAAAATTATATAGAAATATGTGCCTAAAGAAAAAAAACGGAAAGAGAAAGAAAATGGTAGGGGAATATGGGTAAAGACTTTCATCAAGTGAGCAAGTCAATGAGTTAGGAAAAGAGGTTGTTGTAGATGTTTTATAACATGTGTAAGTATAAGTAAATAAAGAGGTTTATAGAAATAAATTTCTATTTCCCAGTTTTTCCCTGAACTAAGAGACAAAAATTCTTTCCCTTTTTCTTTACCATTCAGGAACAAAGCTCAAATTGGCCTTTTTCTTAATCCGTTCCCAATACGTCACATGTACAAGCATCATAAAATACTGCTTAGACTGTGGGGAACAGCTGTACACGCATTGACACGCCAGAGCACGTGATGCAGGATGTTCCACTAGATGTAGTGGGCTCCCACACCCAATGGCTGGACGTTGCCAGAGATCACCATAGTTTATGATGCTCAGAGATTTCTGATACTCATTGGCATAAGTTTAGAATATAAAATAAAAACTATCAGCCTGCCTACAGGAACAGGAATGCATTGCAAGCAAGGACTGTTATTACTAACAAGCACTGCACAACTCTGTAAATAGCCACTTGAGCACTGCAAGCCTGGGCTTTGGCCAACTTGGTGTTTTAGGCCCTCTAATATTTATATGCACATGGTCTATGCAATGCATACATGTACATCTACTATGTTTCCCAGTGCACACAATACAGTATTTCAATAAGGCACAACCTGCACTCCTGGGAGACCTCATTTTATCTTTAGATTTTACTATTTTAACCCCTTCCCGACGGGTGACACCGCTAGGCGTGAAAAGAAACCGCTCGAAAAGTGATGTGCGGCTGTACACCACCGCGGCGCACCAAAGTGCGGCAAGCCAGTGATTTGGGCTGATGTACCGAACTCACGCGCTCAAAGTCGGCACGCTGCCATTGTTTGCGAGAGCATAGAGTTTTTTTTTTTGTTTTCTTTACCCGTCATCATTGGGTTAAAGGATGGCACGTATGCACATGCCATGCTCACAGTGATTTATTTTATCAATTGTATTTACACATAGATGGCTCCTCTAGAACTTAGTCACTAATAGGTCAACCACTAGTCTAACCTACCTCACCTGTTTACCCTTTTCTTTGATTTTCAGAAATATATTATTTTATGTAATATTGACATTAGTATTGTTAATACCACTAGTAATTTTAATGCATCAATATTAATAGAATTAAAATATACATTTTTCTTTTCTACTAATTGACCTGGAAGAGTCCCCGTGGAGCAATCTGTGTATAGATACATTTCACATAACAATACTACAGGAAACAGAATATTTTTTTGGCAGTAATGGCTTGATAATGATAAACAAGAATTATTTAAACTTTTAATAATTTTAATAATAGTAAAACTTAAAACTACAATCACTAACCTGTAATAATAGACATCAAATTTTCCAGCTGATGCCCCAGTGGTACGTTGTACTACTATCCTGGTCCATCCTTCGGGTGTTTCAACATCTCCATCTCCAACAACTAAGTACAGAAGAAGACATCAAGGGTTAAAGAGACTGAAAATATGAACTGTTAATATGAGATAGGCAACTGCATATCCATAGCCAGATATACTGAGATTCTCCATTATACATGAAACAAAGTGAAAGTTTAAGAAAAAAATTGACATTTTAGATTCAATCAAAACTTAGCAGAGAAACAGTCACAAATTCCAGTACTCTAAATCACTTTATAAATGTTGTAATGGCATCTAAGAATTGATAAAAAATGGTTCTTGGGTTGAACTGCCAAATCCTCCCATCTACAATCTAAAAAGTTATTTTCACAACTCACTATTGGCCGGCCTCCTGGGAGTCTTCACTTCTGGTTTCTTTTTCTTCTTTGGCCCTCTCTTCCTGCCAGTGGTTTGCTTCTCCGCACTGCTGGGTGCTTCTTCTTTCTCTGGCAATTTCTCTGCGGTGACCTGTTCCTCGGATGTTTCCATAGGCTCACTTTCTCCATTCTCCTGTTTTGTATCTTCAACTTCACCACTTGGAGTCTCATTCAAAGCATCTGTGACATCTTTTGCATTTTCTGTTTCCATATGTTCTCTATTACTTTCCTCTTTTTCTGTTGTTTCCTTTGCATCTA